CTCTTTCTTGTTACAAATTCATGATGTATTTAAGTACACACTTGGACTATCAACCACCACATATACTTATGCAAACAAGTGAAAACTGGCACAGTCCACAAATGTTTATAGAGTTTAAGGGCCAAGAGCTGTTTAAGTCAAAGGATTCTGTTGACAACAAATCTATACAAACGGGAATGGAAATCAGAAGCTTTCAGAGATAAAGTTCCTAGAACAGCTTTCTAACCAGCAATAGAGACAAAATTCCCATTATTTCCCAAGAATTCCTTTTCCTGTCACAAAAGTGCTTGTCTGATGCATTAGCCTCTCTCAGAGGACAAAAATATTTCATTGTCTCATCCAGATAGTTTCTTCTAATCCTGCGTTCCTACACTGAGTTGGTATACCGGCTGGTGTGCTGGGTCATATAAACTATTTACAAGGAAGGAATCAAAGTTTCTATTGCAAGATCCTAATGGAAGGCAAGAAAAAGTCTATAATCCTGTTTGGAAGAAGAATTACTAAGGACATTTTATCTCTCAGTAAAGATATCCATGGCTTGAAGCAGGTTATCATGTAGTACCTTTTAATTTAAAAATTCTTGCTGTCTTTTTGTAAAGGAATAGATAAAGCGTAGTGAGTTCCATCTATTGGGCTGTTAATGGAATTTGCCTATTTGCTTTTATGAATCACTAATTACTACTCACTTTTACTGATGAAAGAAATCAGAAGATATTTAGCGGGATGAGATAGATGTGTGTCCTACCTGATCATTTCATTTTGCCTGGCATGAAGCTTTCTCATTCAATAAAAAGAGAAGCCTTGTCATTCAGGCCAGCGAGGGCATCTAATACATTACACAACTCCACTTAGATAACAGTTGAAATTTTTCTCTGAGGCAGCGCAGAGTTTTTATAAGTAATTGTTTTGTAGATCCTAGTATCTCTAGTAACCAATGTTGGAAGCACTTTTCTGTCGGCCTGAACAGAAGGACTAGTCTTGACTTGTCAAGACTAGTCTAGTCTTGAGCCTCTGGTAACCTCCAGCAATAACATTTGATTGCCTCCGAAATTTGTGGGATGGGACAGTACCTGTCACCAAGGAAAGAATGTGCTACCTTTCAGGAAATTCGCAGCTGAGATATTTCACACACATGTGCAAACATAGCATGGCTGTCTGTACACCTCTTGAATTACTGTCCTCTATACATATGAGCACAGTTGTATTTCCAAGGTTCATTGTGGTATTCCGGGATCTACACTCAGGTGTTCCAAAATTCTGGGATTTAGATCAAGCCCTTCTTTGTATTAGGCCCTACAGGAAGAGAGCCCAGGGACTCCATCTCCTCCTTAACAGAAAATGTTTCCTTGGCAGTTACCACCAGTGAGCACTGGCAGTGAAGTATATTTGGATAAATATATATTGATGTCTGAATAGTAGTAGTTTTGTTTCTTCAGCATTTTTTCTTTTTTCTCATTGACTTTCAGCAAAGGTAGACATAAAAAGATCCTCTACTGCTTTTAGTGGATGTGCTTCCCCAATCACGGTGTAAATTTTACCTACCAGTTTACTCAACTGCTGAATGTGTTAGGGCAGGCATATATAAAATGTTATGTTTCGTTATCAAAACAGGCTAGCGTTTGGCTCCCAACTTAAAGCTTTTTTCTACTTCACACTTGTGTCATCATCACTTGTAAAATGGTTGTAAAATGGCATTGCAAAATCAGTGAGTGAAGAGAGATTAACAGTACAAATGGTATTCAGGAAAACAGTAGCTTTTTCCATAACAAATAAATGTCTCAAATTTTAGTTACTTTCACTTTTTTTTTAACAGCTACTAGAAAAGGGCCTTCCTAGTATGCAACAGTCCCTCTTACAGATGATCTACAGTCTTCTTAGTTATATGGATCTGTCAGCTATTCCTGTGAAACAATTTAACATGGAAGTGTTAAAAACCATTGAAAAATATGTACAGGTAAATACCATCTCTTCTTTATATTAACATAGGAACTTAGCAGTATTTACTATCATAAGCTGATTTTCTTTATAAGAATTTAAGCCTTGATTAGCAGGGAGGACTGCGACTGTCCAGTGCGGTATCTAGTTTATAAACACCCTGGTGCCTCATAGACTGCGCGTCCCTAGATAACATGCCCGGCTGTGGGTTCACTGTGTGGGAAGGGTTAGGCTGCAGCTAGACTACATCGAGATCAGGCTTAATACCAGGCAGAGCCTAACTGACCACTCTTTATAATTATTAGCGTGAGGGAGATGTGGTATAAGCACTTCCCTTCAGAGAATTCAGCACCTAGTTCTTGGCAAGTGAAAAATACTATTTCTACTAGGAATTCACAGCTGTAAAGAGCCTGTGTCAAGTCAGCTTTTCTGTTACATGGGGATTCTGCAATGGCCCTTGCATTTATTCGTACCGATTAAGGCGTTCAGGTAGGAGATTTTAAATCCTTTGCCAAGTTGGCCTTGCACTCAAGCCTCCCAGGTTGCAGGCCAGGTCCCTAACAATGACACCTTAGGCAAGTCTGGCTTGAAATTATTCTGCAAGTACGTACCTGTCACTGGCCAAGAGAGAGAAAGAATAGTAATAGTCCAATTCCATGTTTTTATTATGTGGCAAAAACTATGACTCTGAAATGTAAATAATCTTGAATGTGTGTGAATCTTTTTTTCTGTTTGCTGATTAATTACACCTATTTCTAGAGCATTCACTGGAGAGAAGCCTTGAATATCCTGAAGTTGGTAGTTTCTCGTTCTGCCAGTTTAGTTTTACCATCCTATCAACACAGCGATCTTTCAAAAATGGAAATACATCGAGTGTGGAACAGTGCCTCCAAGGAGCTACCAGGGAAGACTTTAGAGTTTCATTTTGATATTTCAGAGGTACTATTTTTAATTCTGCTACTTAACACATTAATTCTGTTATTTGATAATCCTAAAACATGTGTTGCAGCTCCTTAAGAAAGCTGAAAAAATAGGAAAGAAAGGAAAATTACCAACCTGAAAGTCTCTTAAATTCCTTTCATTTCACAGTGACATGTTTAATGACCCATGGTGGAGGGCTCTTTCTGGATTTTTACTATATTTTTTTTTGTGAAGGAACTACAAGTTGTGTTCAAAATTATCTGGTGGAAAAGCTGTGTTGTAGTTATGCCAGCTGTAATATATAAGTATACTCTACGTATAAAATCCCCCTCCGAGCATTTTATACTTGGATACCAATGTTCTCTGTAACTGTTAAACACAGAGTATGTCCTTTAAGGGAGAGCTGCCTGTCTTCTGACTGAACTCTTTCAGAGCAGTCTTTATCCTGCAAACCCTGTACACCTTTATCGAACTGAATGGTCCTCTTGACTTTAATGGGCAACTCACGGTATTTATAGTGGTGAATCTGCAGGACTATTTGCAGCGTTATAGACTATTTCATGTAGATAATAGTGAGACTTTGAGGTTAAAAGGAAATATGAACATAAATAGGCATCTTGTACTATTTGTATAAAGAGTTTCTTCTTGCTGTTTCATGTAGGTACAGTTCTAGAAAATGCTTAGCATCCTATTGTCAATCCAAGAAAGTATTTTAATGTTTGTTGGAACAGGGCCAGAGTGTTCAGCACTCTTAGGAAAAACCCATTAAAAAACATGTGCAAGAAATGTAGATTTGAAATAAATTTTACGAGCTTTCTGGGGTTTTTGCTGCTTCTTATGTTAGAAAGTAGTTTGACCGTTGCTTTGAGTATTAGCTATTCACGAACATGAGCACTGGCTACCAAGTATGGCAATTGTTACTCAGACGTTCACAGTGGAAGATGACATACATACCAAGTGACGTGAAATTTGGTGCACTCCTTATTTTACCCCCGCATATGATCTTCAGAGTAATCTTTTCCTGCAACTGAGGCAATATGGCCCCTTATAAGTTCATCCTGGAGCATAGTACTAGTGAATAATTATTCTCTATTTAAGACTCCAGTTATTGGGAGACGGTATGATGAGCTACAAAGTTCTTCTGGACGAGATGGTAAACCCAGGGCAATGGCTGTCACCCGAAGCACTTCTTCAACCTCATCAGGATCTAACTCCAATGTCCTTGTCCCTGTGAGCTGGAAGAGACCCCAGTACTCTCAGGTAATGTCCTTTTAAGTAGCCCACTGTTCATTAACGAGTTATACTCGGAGCAGCTGAGTTAACGCATGTTTAGCTTCTTAAACGCTTGTGCCCTGGCTGGCTGGGGCAGTGGCAGTGTGCTGAAGGTCTTGCTTGGAGCCAGGAATGGACGGAGTTATGTCTGTCTTCTACCCTGCCGGTGTTTTTTCGTTCAACCTACAGGAAATGCATCTCTTTAAGACCTCTAAGTCTAGGTCAGATTTAGCTAAGAATGACAGGTGAGTTCAGATATTAGCAAGCAGAGCAGGTAGACAGCATGTGCAACTTTCTAAGTGTTGTTTTCTTGGGAAATCAGGTAAAGAGAATTCCTTGGAACAATTTACTAAAAGTGATGTTTGATTACCTTATTGATTTTGATTATCTGCCAGTTAAAATAAAACCATGTAGAATAAATTTATTTATTGCTCTTTTTTTTTTAATGCAGCAGATTATATAGCAGTGACTCAGGCCCAATTCTGCAAAAGATAGTTATGCATGTGCTTAATTTTAAGCTTCTGAACTGACCTTTTGAAGTAATGCACACGATCCAAAGTTTCCCTGTTATGCTCAATAGAATTAATAGGCTAATTTAATAATAATAAACTCCAAAATCTTTAACACCTATTTGTACATTGCCTTATATGCATATCTGCTCTGAAAGCAACCCTTTGAGCACTTAATGACTAATTCTTTGGTTGATTCCTCCTAATTAAAAATTGTTAATGTGTGTTTCTTAGCCACCGGGAGAATGAGTGGTTAAAAAAATGCTCACTTGAGAAACATCTTGTTTTCTAGAAAAGGACAAAGGAGAAGCTGGTGCATGTCCTTTCTCTTTGTGGTCAGGAAGTCGGGCTGAGTAAAAACCCTTCAGTAAGTAGCCTTGTGTTGACCATTTCTTTGTTTCGTTGTGTCCTAAACTGTAAAAGTGAAGAACTTTGTTTCCCGGAGTTGCTGACCTGATTTGTGTAGTTTCATGTCACGTTACTGTCATTGTCATTTGTAGTGGCCCACACTGCATTTCTCAGCATATAGAGCAGTGAGGGAATGGCCCTCTCACTTAAAGACGATTTACTTACAGAGCTACATACGGTTTTGCTGTGAGAGATCTGCGATGCCATAGGTTTCACTTACGCTGGCTCAGTGGGTAGAGAGTAACGACCTCCGGTATTACCAATCTAGAGCGAGCCTTTATAAAGTAAAGGATTAAATTACAGAAATAAAACTGGGGGTGGTGGTGGTGTCTGATTTTTCCATTAGATAGTAGTTCTGATGTTACTCTTTAAAGATTAATATTAGCTGGTGCCAGGAAATGGGCAATAGATGACCCAGTGTAGGAAGCTCTTAAAATGGTTATTAAATATTTTCTACAGAAAAAGGAAAATTTCTGAATGTTTTTGAAGATGTCGTATGTCATTTGTATTATGGTGAACAGGTCCTTCATTTCTGCAAGACAGGGACTGTTTAATTTTCACAACTAAATTGCGGATATAATTATTTTTAGTAGGAAAGGAAAAATTATATCTTGTTTTGTCTTCTCATCTTGACATATTGTTGAACATAATTTTTACATAGAGATTTTTTTAGTGAATTTTCTATCTCATCCCCCTTGACAGTATTTTCTTTGCTAAGCTCTCTGAATTTTGTTCCTATAAATGTATACATGACAGTATTTTCTTTGCTAAGTTCTCTGAATTTTGTTCCTATAAATGTATACAAACATCCAGGCAACATCAATCTGCAGCCATTAGGAGGTAGCTGTAATATTCTTGGACGTGTTCCTGCAGTATGAAGTTGTTTCTTTGTACAAGTTTAATCTGAAGGCACCTGTCCAACATAAATAATAAAGAGTGTTCTAAAAATACTCAGTGAAGGAATTAGGTGTGTACTGGAAATACAGTCTTCTGAATAACCAATTACAGCTTTTAGGAAGAAACAACCGGAGGGAACAGTTTGTTACAAGAGAAATCCTTTGAATTGTAGGTAATTTTTTCTTCCTGTGGTGATTTGGACCTGATTGAGCACCAAACAAGCTTGGTGTCTTCAGAAGACGGAACAAGGGAGCAGGAGAACATGGATGATTCAAACAGTGAACAACAATTCAGAGTCTTTAGGGACTTTGATTTCCTAGATGTTGAGCTGGAAGACGGGGAGGTACAGTATATTTTCTCTGAAACAGCTTTTTAAATAAAATAGTTTGATTTTCTTTCTACTAAACACTATACTCTTCTTAACTGTATAACTATAAACTTAGTTTTGAGTTCAGATTATTTATAATGCTCACTTAGTGTTTATTTCAGTAGCATAACAGTAAGAGGCTACCACACCCTTCCTTTCTGAATCTGCTTTAGGAAACACTGCAAAACTGTTACTGGAAGATAAAGCCTCGGTTCTAGTACCTTTTCAGTCAATTTGCTTTTAAGGGAATTTATTTTACATGCAATTTTTAAAGGTCTAAATTGTTAAGAAAAATATATTTGCTGATTAAAAACCCAGAAAATGAAATTGTTCCAAATCTGTTGGTTCATCAGTAACCCTCCAAAACATGAATTCAGGCCTTCGGGCTGTTGTTACTCCTGCAACTGCTGATGAAATCACTAACGCTTAGAGAGATGTACCTTCCACTCTGCTTAGGTGTCCGTGATTTCATCATTTCGTGCAGGAGCTAAACAGAACCCTGAGGCCCCAGATCAAGTCTTGACAAGCGAAGCCTGTCAGCTCACCTTGAGCTGAAACTGCTGAAGGGAAAAAGTTGAAGAACTGCTGAATTTTGGGGGGCTACACCCTTTAACTTTGCTTATATCAAACTTGGAGTGTTTCTTTCTATTTGGGTGGGAAAGGCCAAAAATGGTTATCCATTGCCAAACAAGTCTAACAGTTTTGTTGCTATTTAAAAGTTCAGAAATTGTTAGCTCTTTTGAAGCACTTAAGGTGCAGATGTTCAGCAAACCTAACAGTTTAATAAATTGTCTTGTCATAATCTGGACGTGATTTTAACATGAATTCTGTCAGGGATCGCTCTTAGCCCTGAAAAGAACATGAGTACAAGAAGAAATAATCACTTTTCTTCCTAGTTGAATTACAGTAGTAAAATAATTTTAAGGTAAACAGACCCCTCAGGTGTGAACTCATGTACATCTGAATTTTAATTTTTTTTACAATGAATATAAAGGATGAAGGAATGGAAAGAGATGTCACAGAGTCCTTATTTTCCAAGTCAGGAATCTCTGTATCAAAGTATAGTAATTTTGGCTCAGAACTGCCCATGACTTTGCTAAAACAAACAAACAAAACCAAACATCAAACAAACAAGCTGTTGGCATCAATGATTGAAAATACATTAGCCAAATCTTATGAAGGAGCTTTAATGTTCCAAATTATGATAAATGATAAAACATCAATGCCCAGTGGTTTGTCAAAAAGTATACCAGCTGCGATAATTTCTGTGTCTTAAATGATTTCAAGATATTACAAGGACTTGGGACTGCAATATTGATTAAGTATCACATGATAATTTTTTGTCCAGTGAAATTCAGGAATTTCTTCTTTCTCTTCACCAGTCAAAACCATATACAAATTATATATAATTGTGCAGAACAATTCCTATCAAAATGAGTTTACCTTCATGGACTGTGACCCTGAAAAGATTTGGTTTTTATGTGTGGCTAACTTCAAGACTGAGGTCTAAATTAATCAATATACTAGTTGCCTTAAGTTGGTCCTGGAACAGATACTAAGATTCTCTAGTTTTATGTGAAGTAAAATGAAAAATGTAGTCTTTTACATACTACAGTATTTAAATTGCCATGGATCTGAGACCTTGCATTCCGAGGTTTAGTCCAGACTGACTCACTACTGTTTTAAAGAAATAGATGCTCTAGCCAAATTCAAATTCAAACCTGGTGTGAGATGCTACTTCTCTAAAGACTGAGTTGAAACTGTATCATTTACATCAGGTCTGAATTTGAAATATTCAGAAACATGACTAAAACACTGTTAGCAAACTTAAGCTAGCAAGAGCACAAACAGTCTTTCCAAAAAAACGTGATTTGAACAGGTCAGTGATGCTTGTATCATCCGCAGATCACAAGATGTATTTGTTTGAAATTTCATAAAGATGTGAAAGCAAGTAATGGTTATTTTCAAACTTAAAAGACAGGCTGAAGAGTTGAAGTTTCTGTGATAATATTAGTTACAATTGTAGGCAAATGTTTGTCTATGGTGTCTTTGATACAGTAATTTTACATAGATTCTTTCTATTTGTTTTTCTATCTGTTATATCTGCTACCCAGGAACTTCAGGTAAGAATGCTACTTGAACTCAGATGTGTCAGCATATGTTATGCCTTCTTGCAAATTTGTATTATAGAATAACATCATAGTTTTGTTGTTGCCTTCCCCCTCTTCAGCGTGTGCGTAGGTGGGTGGGTGTGCGTGTGCTTGCACTTCTGACAGGTGCTTCATTTTTTGTCTTGTATTGGAAATATTCTTGAGGTCTTTTTCAGAAATTCTGCTTCATTTTAGGTTTGCTTTTAACACGTTCAAGAGTCTTCACAAATTTTAAAAATCTTAATTCTAATATCAGCATTTTTTCAAATTGAGCCATTTCTCCTTTTAGTATCTTTGTGCATAAATAATACGTAGAAACAAAAGAAGAACTGCATTGTTTATCATATAGTACAGTTTGGGCCATTTATTTCCATGGACAAATTATGTATCATTTCCAGCTTTTCAGTTGTGGTATATTGGCTCCTGTTAGCATCTTGCTAAAGCTGATACCCGAGACCTCTTCAGAAAGTTTACATCATTGCCTACCAGCCTGAATTTAATTGAATAAATTAATTAATTCATACAGCTTAATTTAATTCAGCTGTATACTCCTACCAGCTTTGCTGGACTCATTTACCCTGTGAAAAAAACAGAAAAGGCATTATCAGTGGTTGCCAGTTTGGGACCTAAACTGGCAGTTTATCGATGTATAGAGAGAACTGAAATGATAGAGAATTAATTGTAGTGAGTTGTACAAATGATACAAAAATCAGCAACAACAGTATTTTGCGTATTTGTTTCTGATAGTTTGTAAATCAGTTATTATGCAAATACAACCCCCAAGAAATCTTTGTCTCAAAATGCCTGTGCTCTCAAAGATACAACCCTACGGAAACAGTGCCTTACTACGCAGTTCCTCCACCCTTTTGCCTATACCCTGCAACAGTTGTGCGACTCCATCAATTTTGCATGCTTTGCCAATACAGTAAGGATAAAAACTTGTGTGAAAGAAGTTTTGCGTGATTCTTACGGGCTGTATGGAGGAGCTATGCTGCTCTCCCCCCGTAGGGTTACTTCCCTTTTTTATTGCCCTTTCCCCTGGGTTGTGGTGATGTTTAAAGTGGCTGCAAGGGCACGTGGTGATTGTGGGAAGTTCTGCGTGGTACCTGCTCACTGCTGGCCAGACACTTTTGTAATACGTGACTGTTTTCTTTTGAATTGATGTTTGTTACTGGTAGCTTTTCAGCTAGGAGATAGCTTTGCCCCCCGCTGTAGATAAAAATGAACAGCCTCTCAAATACATCTTCCCTCCTTCTTGTTAACTGTGAAAGAAAGGTTGCTTAACAGACTATAAAACCAACGACTCCATCTTCGTAGACGTTTGTTGACCTCTTGTTTAAATTCAGTATGACTCTGGGTGCCCCTGTAGCAAGCTTACGCTAACTTCTTGTGTTTCATCTCTCTTACCCTTTTCCCTCACTTTTAATTCACTCCCACTTCTAACTGCATGCCCTGGAAGTGTCCCTTTGCATTTTTCTTCTTTGTGCTGGCTTCCTTCTTTAAGACATTGCAGAATAAAACTGCAACAAGATATACTGCCATAGACATGGGCTGCAAAATTTACGGATAGCCGTACTAGGCATCACGACGATCTGGGTGTGATGGCAATCATCTTTGCTTGCTTGCTGATTTATGTCATTTTGTCATTTCTTAGTTCAGCAACTGGTGTGTTTGTGGAGGATGTCTCGTGGCTGCATGTGTCCTCCAGCCTTTGTGGGGGAGGGTGGACCGAATAAATTGTTAAAATAAATAGCTGGGAACTGAACAGTCATTTTTATGATTTAGAGAGACCCAGTTTCTTAAATCTTAGATGGGTTTTGTTCTCTTCCCACACAAAACTATCGTATGATCCCAGGCCCAGGAGGAAAACACAGGGTTCTTCCAATAACGTGTCGGGCTTCATAACAATTTCATGTCGTTTGCTCTTGAATATAGCGCATTCCTTAGTTCTAAAGGTTCTTGTGAGTTACAGTTCTTGCATGTCTGGATTGTCTTTTTCCTCAGAAATATTTTTATCTTTTTTCCTCATATTGATTCATGAAGAGTGAGCTTATTGTCATAAAACTGAACTTTCCCTCTTTCTAACCGTATTCCAGAGCCCATTGCATTAAAGGGCAATGATGCAGAATATGAACTGTTTGGGCAAGTTTGTCAATTGTTAAGGAGGGAAGATTGCAACTGAATTAATTGCACTTTATGCAGTTTGGTCCCCATTCAGTAAATGTCTGAGTAGTCCTGAATGGGCATTACTCAAGTTTTTAAAATTACAAATCTGCTTAAGGGACCTCACTGAACTGAGACCTCTTTCTCTATGATTGCACATCATTTTAATCTGCATAAGCCCAGGAGATACTCATGATCAATGATTCGATAACAATATTTATTTTTTTTTAGGCAGAACGATATTTTTGTAAAATTTATATTTAAAAGATCACTGTCAACTTGAATTTTCAGCAGTTCATTTGCTTGTTGAAGTGTTGCATCTTACAGAGTCTTGTTTTAAACAGCCAGCCCTGAACCTTAACAAGAAACATTTTTCTTTATCAATTTCCTTCCCATATGGATGTAAGGTTGAGGGCTTTCACCTAGATAAAGCACCCAAAACTGCAAGTGGATACTTCTGGGTAGACCCTTCATGCTGACGAGGGCGGTTGTGGATGTGCTCCTGCATTTGCCGGAGAGGAGCCTGGCTAGACTTCAAGAAGGATGCAAGAGAATTAGCGCAATTAGGGAAAAGGGATACAGTCCGCTGGAAAATACACAGAGTAAAAAAAAAAATGGAAAAATGGTGAAAAACTAATTGTCATTTTTATAAATGAAAGGAATCAAGTGATCTTTGTTCACCAGCCTAACAAAGAGTTATGCAATTTGCTTAATGCACTCGGCTTTATGTAACTGCGTGTGGGATCAGAACTGAAAGTCAATATAAAATGTTTGGTCCATTTGACCGTGGCCTTTTTAAAACATGAAATCTCAGGCAATGCTAATCAGGTTATTCTCACAGTATAGTTGCAAATAATTCAAATAAATTCAAGTTGCAAAAATAAGCACTATGGGCCTAGAATGAAAGTTTTAAAAGGTGTGCTGCTTTAGCTATTGCATTTTGTGTGTAAATGAAGCGCTCATTCAAATCTACTCATCATTATGGTTATGTATATAATGCAAAGAATCTAAAATCTTTAACATATGTTTCACAACTGAACCATTGTTATGAACTGTGCTCCTAATACTTTTAAACATCATGGGAAAATCCTTCAAAATTGCTTCCAAACTTTGCTTTTGCCTGTCATTGCTTTGCTGGTATTGAGGTGTGTGTATATGTGCGCTTACAAAAACAAATTCCTGAAGCAGCAGCAAATGCATGAAAAACATCTAATACCGAAAAGACTGAGTCTTCATGTAACTGTCATTTCCATGCTTCTGCTCTTACCTCCAGGTGAACAAACAAAATAATCCTTCGATCAAGTTTGTATTCTACTTTTACATAAAAATCTTTCTTGAGCTAACTTTGATCTAATGGTTAGCGGGTTGCGTATGCTGAGTTTCAAATCAAGGAAGCCGACCCTATATCTGATTTCAGGGTGAGAGCATGGACAACTTCAACTGGGGAGTACGCCGACGGTCCCTGGATAGCTTGGACAAGTGTGACATGCAGCTGCTGGAAGAGAGCCAGCTCTCGGGGAGCACGCCCAGCCTGAACAAAATGAACCAGGAGGACTCGGATGAGTCATCGGAGGAGGAGGACCTGACCACCAGCCAAATCTTGGAGAACTCAGACCTAGTAAGTTGCAAACTTGCAATATAAGAAAAAAAATAGGGGTATGTTTTTAAATAAGCTGGGAGTTTTTAGTTTCCTCTGGCCCAGGTGCAGTCTGATCAGCTGAAAGTGGGGGGTGGCACTCAATGCAGTGATTTGTCGCTGCTTCATTTTCCCTTATTTGTAAATGTAAACAGGAATTTTAATGCAGAGTTCAAAACACAGGAGACATCAGATCTGATTATTTGCCCTTTTTTCCAAAAGTTACCATGTGACAATTTTGCACAATTGGCCAGCAGTAAGTCTTTCTGATGTATCTAATACTTAAAGAAATAGGACAAGCCGGCAGATTGGTAAACTGTGTCAGGTTTTTATTGTTCACTTCTGGGATGTTTGCGTACAATTTTTATGACAGAAACATTGAGAAGGTTATAATGGATCTGCCTGTACAAACTAAGAGAGCCACCATCACTGCCCTTTAAGACAATGTCCGCTTTGCATGTTCATAGAAGCAGCGTGTGGTAGGGGAGCTGTATACTCAGTTCTTTTGTGGTTTTGTCGTCTTTTAAATAGATTATAACTCTTTCAGAGGATGCAAATCATATTGACTCACTTTCTACATCATGTGACACGACCTCAGCAGACCCTCATCATTTTAATATAGGAACGACCAGCTTTGATGTGTCTTTGCCTGATATGAATAATCTCCAAGTGTCTGAAAGATCGAAGGTGAACACGTTTTTACTTTCTTTTGCAACTGGACTGTATTTTACAAAACACTTTTGCAAGATTATTTTGCTTACGCTTTCATGAAGGGTTTGATCTGTGAACACAAGTACACTCTGAGTTCCTGTAGGTAGTGACATAGTACAATACATTCATATCCTCCTGCACATTCATACCCTTTCCTTTCTACTTATACTGTCTTCATTAAAAGATTTTATTTATTGTTTCTTAAGTATATTGCACTACGTATGCTCCAAGATACTCCAAGCTCATTGGAAGACAAATTCATGAACTGGCTACAAGTTACAACCCTAGGGGAATATTCTTTTGTTCTTCGTGCTGATTTAAAAGAACGATATGCCAACTCGAGGGGTGGGTGTACGCTTGTATTCTCTGAGATTTTTTTGTGTGTGGGAACCTATTGTACGGTTGTGTGCACTGGATTCAGTTCTTGCCTTTTGGCAGACACTCAGAAATTTTAAATTCATGACCACAATATTAAGCCATCTTGGGGGGGTGAGGAGGCAGGATTTGCAAGTGTACAACAACCATGTTCAGCACAGTTTATTTCAGACAATTGTATCAGAAGATGAACATAGAGTAAGGTTGGTAAATGATTATCAATGTGGGGACGGTTTCTTTAATTTTCTGTTTGATAATACTTGTTTGTGGGAGATCAGGTGAACCTACTCCTCTCAGTGTCTCTCCAGAAATATAATCTGGGGCGGGGGGGCAGGGAGGGTAGTGGCTTTATGACACTGTTGCCTTACCAGTAAAGCTTTCTCTGTCACGTCTGACTTGGGTGACTTCTGCAGAAAGAGCAGTGTAAGAGGATGGAGCAGAGGAAGAGTATGTCTTGTGTAATCATCGGCTTTCGTGCCAGTTCTTGCCCTTGGTCCCCTCCAAATGCAGTCACACAAAAAATTGATGCAGTACTGCTAGCACAGCATGTAACAGAAGTAATGGAAACTTGTAGTGAAGAGGGCATATAAAAGGAGGTTGGAATTGTGCTGAATGTTGAACAAATGGTTTGTGTCAGAAACCTCCCCAGGGGGAAGAAAGGACAGGAGGAGGGAAATGTGGGTAAGGATAGAAAGGGGGGAACCTCTCAAAATAATGGTTGTGGAAAAGTTAAACTCATTATCATTTGTCAAAACAACTGTTGGTAGACAAGTTACCACGCAACAACCATAACCAGCAGAAGTTGGCAGAAGTTCATTTCAGGCAGCTGCAGTCAGAACAGATACGTTTGCAGGTGGGGACTGCAGCTCATCTCGGGCAGCCAGCTGCAGTAGCTATGGGTATGTACATTAAGAATTGCAAATCACAGGCCACGAGTTTCATACATGCCTGGGGTTTTAGAATCTTTACTGGGAAAATTTCTTTAATGTCCCAATACCCATGCGCCAGTGTTCATCAAAAATGAAAAGCTTTGGAAAAAGTAAGTCAGTGAAGAAGTTTCACAGCAGTTTCTTACGGGATTGACAGGCAAATTCAGCCAGTCCTGATACAGGTTTGGTATTGGTGAAATACATAACCCAAGTTGACAGGGATTTGCCAGTGTTACAAAGATGTTTGAATTGATAAGCTTTACACAGAATGCCTTCGTAGGGTTTTTTGCCTCAAAGAGATTTTCTTCTAGTATGCACACTTCTGTATTTTTACCTAAAACAAATTGGAGTCAGTATAAACAAAGTTAAAATGCCTAGGTTTGTAAGTATTTTAAAGAAGAAGTCATCCAATTTTTAGTCAGAAAACTTGAAACTTGCACCTAAATAATTTTTACTTAATTTGATAACACAAAATCTGAGCTCTTTCCTGTTTCTCTTTTCCTCTGAATTCTTATTTTCAGAGAGTTGATGGTATGTCAGCAATGCAGACGAAAATTTTTGTTACTTCTTTAGTGCTGTACAGAATTGTTTAGTTGTTGCATCATAAGCAAAACCAAAAGTACCACCTCAGCTTTTAAAAAGATGCAGTGAATGAGAGCAACAGACTGATTAAGTATGCCTGTTCTCAAATGTTTCAGTGCCAAAATCCAGGTGTTATTGTTAATGGCATTAAATTAGGTAAACTCATTTTCTGTTAAAGAAAGTGATCACAATAATTAAGATAGTATTTATAAGGGATTAGAAGGCAGTGATGGGTAATGCTATGAGGGATACAAAGATTCAGATTATGCTATTTTATATATTTTTCAAGTTATCTAAACTCAGCAGTTTCTGGAAGTGTACTCCAATTCTGCATGAATATTCAGAGTCCACTTTTTTATTTTGCTTTTTGGCCATCGTATTGGACTCCAGTGAGTGGGAGGTGTTTGCTTCCCCTTTCTTCCTCCCTTGCCCTGTCCCATCAACATGTGTTTTCCTCATACAAACACTGTCTCGGCAGTGAACAAACCAATGGTTCTTTCAAGCTAGTATTTCATATTTGAAGGTCATTAGTACTAACTGCTTCTTGAAGAAGCATGAAACTTTATGCTTCTTGCCAGCCGCTCTGGTTCCTATTCTGGTAATCCAGCCATACAGTTTCCATTTCTCTTTTCAAGATGGTTTGTGCTCTGATTCATTTCATCCACCCTGGACTCGGGAATATTCCTCTCTCTTTCGCTTAGAAAACAAAACAAACCAAAAAAACTTTCTCCTACTCAATTTCTGACCCTGTCCTTCCTGATACAAGTCTTGTTTAATTTTTAGAAATGCAAATCCCCAGAATTTATCTGTAGGATCCAAGCAGGTCTGGTAACCTGCAGAGGGACACTCTTTTAATTCCACTTGCCACGAATTTCCCTCCTTACCAGCTCCCAACACATGGACATATGGATATGTGCATGAACACACCTGAGATACCCCAAATAGAAAAGATAAAGAGTTGGAGCTCACCCACTGCAGTCATCCCTACAGGAACTGCTTTGCAGGATGCTATGGATGATGCAAGCAAAAGCCAGAAGATTAAAACTGAAACAAAACTTGTTCAGACTAAAAATGCAAGAGCAATTGGAAAGTTTCAAAAAGAAATCAAGAGCTTTAGGTGCTAATCGATGAAAAAGGAAGGAAATGATAGAAGCATAATCCTTTTAATGGCCTGTAGAATGCTTTGAATTCCTCCTGAAAGCAAGTTATTATGTAAATGACATGCTAAAAATAATTCTGAATTACAAACATGCATATAGTCTTCCAGACAATGATTGTTTTCAATATATTTTGAGAGGCTTTAATACACTCTTGGACACTATAAAGTGATAAGTGACACGGGCAGCCTGACAGTAACAAGAACCCAACTGGTTTTGCTGAAAAATACTTCCCTGCTATGTTGGCAAATGCATTGAAATCTGAAATTCTTTGCTAGACAAATTATTGAAGAGTTGCCTCAAAATAGTACTGATCCAAGACAGTAAGTGAAGCAAACACAGTATTTTTGAAGAAGTGTAACTTGATTCATGTCATTTATAATCTGTGGCTTTCTATCTGTGCAATTTAACATGTTGTCAGGTGGGGTTTTTCATTAAATGCTTTCTATTTATCAGTGGAATTAACTTATTAATTTGCTGTTTTCTAAGACATCATCATTCACTTCCCTAGGTTGAAGCTGTACATGAAGAACACGATACAGCAGTCCATGAGGATGACCTTTCAGGATCTACAAATGAACTCCCTGGAGCATTTGAATGCAGTGATAGCCTTAGTCTGGATATGACAGAGACTGAAGAAAAAGTTGACAGGCTGGAACAATTTGCTCTTGCTAGGTACTTGTGTGTGCTTTTACTCATACAAGTTCTTTTACACCGTACAACAAAGTGGTCACAAGATGTTAGTTAATGGAATGGCTGTTTTCGTCACAGGAGTTAAAAAATTCTCATGAGTTTAGAGCAGTGAGAAGACAATGCCTGAATTACCTACATAAATATCACATAAAAAACAGGATACGATTTTTACATACATCTATGCACTTAGTCATTATATATGTAATACATTTAATCAAAAGGAAAAAAAATATTTTTAAAGATTTCTCAGTAATGGAAATACTGTTTAGTTAGCTGTGCAGCAGAGCAGCCATGTATTCATCCTTCTGCTTTCTTATGGGTCATAAAGAAGTCACAGTATTATGAAAATGTGAAAAATCCCATCTGTGTACTCTTGAGGCTGCTGGTGAGCATGGCTGGACCCCAGTATATGCTGCAGCAAGGCATCAAGATTTTTCCAAGTCTTACGGAGCTGTTTCAGATTTTGGATGCTGAGTTAGACTGCAATTAGCTGGTATTTATGGAAAGGAAAGGAAAGGAAAGGAAAGGAAAGGAAAGGAAAGGAAAGGAAAGGAAAGGAAAAAGGAAAGGAAAAAGGAAAGGAAAAAGGAAAGGAAAAAGGAAAGGAAAAAGGAAAGGAAAGGAAAGGAAAGGAAAGGGGATACATAAAGAAGCTCGCTCTTTGTCCATGTGCCACGTGTTTCAGAGTTGTAGTTCTTGTTCTTGGGAGCCATAGGAAGAGGATACATAAAGAAGCTCGCTCTTTGTCTGTGTGCCACGTGTTTCAGAATCGTAGTTCTTGTTCTTGGGAGCCATAGGAAGTATTTCTCCATCCCAAAGGATAATACACAAGATGAAATACTTTAGCACCCTTTAAAAATGGTAGTCAGCCTGTTTCACTGACCATGGAGTGCCAAAATAATGCTCTGTCCTAAGAACAGTGTGGAGAAAGGATGGATCTTCTCCAGTCCATTACATTGGGGGGAAACCAAACGGGTCAGTATACATAATGTCTGTACACGCCGAGATTCTTTTCAGTGCTTCAGCTATATGTTATGAAAACCAAGTTTTCCTAGAAGAGGAGTTTTTCTTCATGGACTTTATGTGTGAAGTTTCAGACTTCTTCCTCCAAACAATGGTACGATAAAACCATTCAGGCATTGTGGGATGGAGGAAGATAGATGATAATGGCCTGAAGACAGGGATTCTGATTTGGAGGTTTTTCTCATTGTAGCCAACATCTTGCCAACCTTCAAAAATAATTTGAAAGTTCATGAATATTTGTAGAAAGATGTTGTAATCAGTCCTGTGATTATATTTCTCTGTTATAGCATATTTTATCTGCCACTTTCTTGGTGTTCTCCTTTCATCACAGTTTATTTTTTTTTCTCCTTTAGTTTTGGAGATGTTGATCGAAATGCTTCTCCTCCTCCCTCACCATTTTTTTCTGCCATCCTTGCTGCATTTCAGCCAGCAGCATGTGATGATGCAGAAGAAGCCTGGCGTAGTCATATCAACCAGCTTATGTGCGACTCTGATGGTTCCTGTGCAGTTTATACATTTCATGTGTTCTCTTCCCTGTTTAAGGTGAGAAAATAAGCTTAAGATACAAAATCAAAATGTTTAGATTGTGTGTGGCTATTAGGATGGTTCTTGATAGCAGTATCAGCAATGAACTACTACGTATAGGTGTATAACCATTGTAATTTTGCATGCTGCAGAATTGCCGTACTAGATTTTCGTGTAGAACTGTCTTCCAGGACAAGTTGTGTCATAAAAATAGTATGTATCTTATACTTGCAGGTTTGGAGATAACATTATAAAATACGGATCCGCTTTAAAGAGTATTTTCTTCAGTACTTTACAAACAGCCTGGAACCGTAACTGCAAGAGACAGGAATCGGCCTTTTCATCTCAAACTATTGTTAATCTGTTCTTTCCTCTCCAACTCTTGAAATCTGACCATGCCCATGGAAATGTCAACATTATTAAATATTGTGTACCTAATCATCTGAATAGAAATAGCCAGCTGCCATCACGTAACATAAATTCCAGAGACTGAGTCTGAAGACTAGAAATACATTTCTCCTTTCTAAAACTGTATGCTCGCAAAGATAAGAATCTTGCAAAAAGATAAGAAAAAAAAGAAGTCAAATGTACAGGCTGTTCTAAGGAATGACTGTCTATTTTTACCTGTAATGAGTTTTAAAGCCTTTTTTAATTGTTTCTTCTGCCTTATATGAGGCAGCTGCAGGATGTTTAGCATGCTGCAGCAGCGTACACAGCAGCCAGGTAACTTCGTGCAGAGTTTAAATACCCATGAACTCAGAGGACACAATTTTTTATTAGCAATGGGTACCCCACTAATAAATACACAATCTCAAGATCTTTTCATATCTTTAAGACTACTCTTATGAGAAAGAAGTATCACACAATAAGAATCTCTTCTCCATCCTGTTTTTTCTGTGCTCCAGTGGAGTTAATTGCATGTCTTCTCTAGCTGCAGACTGTGTCCTCCTTTAAACACTGTAAATAGGGGTGCCTTATATGCATTCTTTTAAACACTGATCAATAACTATTTGGAAGGAAAAAAACAGTGCTGACTTGAGTGCCTAACAGTTCAGTTTTGAAAATCAGGCCTGTGTTTCTTCATGATGTGTATTTCAGCTTTTCTGCCCTTATGTCAGTCCTAGAGCTTAATAGCCCTGTTCGGGTGCTCTGAGAGTTATTTGTCCTTTTTGTTCTCTTTGAAGAGGTGAAAAGGAACTGGTGTCACGCTTCTGAAAACTAAATAAATAATACTGTGTAATGCAAGACATCATTACCTGTAAAGTACCTGTTAACTCCAAATCCTGGCATGCACACACTACATTGGCTGTTGTGCTTGCCCTACGTTCAGAAGAGAGCCTACTCATCTTCTTCAGTTGATACTGGAGGAGAAAGATACAATACTGCTCTCAAAAAAATTTTTAGTAACAGCAAAATTTGAATAATGGTAATAAAAAAAAATAAATAAAAGGTGTTAATAGTATCAACAAACCAGAATTTTCTAGCTGGAGTCACAGCCATATTTTTAGTTTATAAAAATAGCTTTGTTCTCCTCTTTGGAGTTCAAACATAGGAGTATTATTTTCCCAGATTTTTTCAGAAGATCTCATCTTGTCTGGAATTGTATTGTGTTTGCACCATCAGACTTAGCTACTCATCTGCTAACTTAAAAGACTTTTGACCCTCACCAACAGGAAGTTTCAGAAACAAGCCCAATATTTGCTAGGCTTGCAACACAAAGTGCTGCCAAAATATTTAACTGTGAAACAAAATCCTTGTTTGGAGGAGCTTGTCAACTAAATACTTGGTGAAGTGAAAGAAGTGCATTTTCCAGGGCACCTACATTTCAGTCTGCATCAAGTTAATGGTATCTTGGATGTCTGCCCACAACACGCTAAACTTGTTTAAAATTCCTGAAATTATTGAAGTGCTTTTCCTGTAAACAAGTCATAGCTCAGAGATCTCTGGATTATCTTTACAGCTGCCTCTTTGTATTCCATCAAGTCAAATGTCTTCCAGCAGACCAGCCAGTTCCAAGACAAGTAGATTTGAGAGCTAGCAAGTAGTTTCCACAATCAAGGCCTTTTGTTACGAAAAGTCCTCTTCCCAGAAGAGGAAACCTGAGGTTAAGAAGAAAACGTTCTGAGAATGTTTTTTTGTTATTTACATTGACACAAAGCACAGCGACTACATGCAGACATATACCGATTCATAATATGCTGGCTGTTGGCATTATTATTCACAGTAATCCCATTTCATAAAGTATATACTGCATTCAGACCTTGCTTGAAAGATTTCAGGCACTGTAATCTGCACCCAGAAGGACATAGCTGAGATGATAACTTATTATAGAACTGATAGTTGATGTAATTGCAAAATAAATATATTTAGTGAAGTACTATACATAGATGACAAAGTACAGTCTCTTGCTGTTTCACATTTTAATACTTTGAAACACTGTTCAAGACTGTTATCTTCTTAGCTGTAGACTGATGCTTTTAAGAATATCTGAAAATAAAAGCAGTAAAGGAAGAATATGGTTCCTTGAACCAAAACAGTAGACTGGTCAGCTTTTAATAAAGCCATTACTGAAATTCTCTGAGGAAGTTATTTTCATAAAATGAACTAGAACCGTTAAAATACGTGAGTAGATGTGTGCTGGAAGGGACTTGAAGACTTCATGTTCCTTATCTTGCTCAGGACGGGATCAGCTATAACTTCCATTCCTGTCAAATGTTTTTGTTCATGTTCCTTATCTTGCTCAGGACAGGATCAACTATAACTTCCATTCCTGTCAAATGTTTTTTAGTGTTTTTCTCTAGACTGTTCGTAACCTTTAGGCTCAGGTGGAACTTCACAACGTTCCTAGGCAATGTAGTCCAATGCTTAACTCTCCTTATTGCTTGAAAACTTCTCTTTCTGTGTTTTACGCCCATGGCTTCTTGCTCTATACACAGCGGTACTCCTTCTCTGCAGTTGCTGCTTGTATTTGAAGACCATTATCACGACTTCACCTACCCCTAACTTCTCTTATTTAACCTCAGTTCTTTCAACCTTCCCCATAAGTCACATTTTCTCAGCTTCTCACTGTTGCTATGAGCTCTCTTCAGTTAGTCTGTGTATTACTTGAAAAGCAAGAGCAGGTTCTGTATTTCAGGCTAAGTTCTTACCAGCACTGACTATAAGAGGATTACCTGTTTTATAGAAGGTATTCCTGTTTAAAATCTCTCTGGTAGCTACTGTACAGCAGAATACAGTTAATTATTTTCCATTTGTAACCCAATCTATTATGCAGATCTTGTTCTACAAAATTTTGCCGCCTTGGTTATTCTCCATCCTGAATGTGCTCTGTGGATTGTTTCATGCTAGGTGTACAACCTTGTCCTTCTTTCTTTTCCCTGCACCACTTCTCCAGTTTATCAAGATCAGCCTGAATTCTAATCCTGGCTTCCAAGGAGTCTGCAGCGCCTGCAGCTCAATCATCCATGCATTTAATAAGCATGTTGCATATTCTATTATTCAGTATTTTCGTTAATGACTTGGTTAGTGCCCGAGACAGTCCCCAGTGGAATCTTACTCAATTTATCTTTCCAATTGGACAGTGAGCTGCCGATAATTAACTTCTGAATATGGTTTTGCACACCTAGTTACCTCTAGACCAGGCTTCTCTGCCTTACTTCTGAGATAGTAAATGAATTAATACATAACATACTAATGGCTTCTCCTCCTAATAGAAAATTTTAGCCTTACATGAAAATTAAAGTTTGATATGATTTGTTCTGTCCATATCTGCACTGCCTATTATTCATCTCTTAGTTGTTCCCCTATTTCCTGAACTTTGTGTTTAATTCTTTTGCTCTTAGGGTTTTTTTTTGAGATTAGCACTTTCCTTAAGTTTTTTACAACACCCTGTGTACTCTGACTTCTTAAAGATATTTGTTATGGCTCCTAGACCTCTTTAGCCAGTATTATAACTATTATAGCGCGAATTTCCCTGATCTGCAAAGACTTAAAAATATTCCTTACTAGCAAGATCTGTTCTCACCTGAGTTTTCATAGATATCTCATTGTTACCTGTACACAGATGCCCTTTCTGGGAGCAATAAGGCAAAAGAAGGCATTAAACACATCAGTCTTTTCAGTAGCATCTGTTAGTAGCTATTTCTCTCCATTGTGATTCCTTGGCCCTCCTCTTAGTTATTTCTAGTTTACTTCTTGACATTCTTTCTCTTACTACTTTATTTGGCATCTTCCTCTCTGATTATTGTGCCTGCATTGCCATGCTATTTTTGGCACCCGAGTTAGTAATTTAACACAGTTTCACTTTCTGTTCTTTTTTGCATAAGTATTTGCCTGAGTGAAATATTTGTAATTTAGCCAGATGTGTATCTTAATATATTTTCTATCTTTCAGTGGCATAGAATGTGCTTCTACCCTCTTTTTTTTTTCCCCTAAGGGAATGGCTACCTCTCATTGTCTCCTTTGCCCATGAAGTTATTTCTAATGGGCTCCTTCCTGCAAATTCTGAATTCGGTTGTATTATTTCTGTAATCTGTCTCCTTCACTGCCTCAGATTCATAAACTCAGTTACTCTTCCCCAGGAAGGCATTGCAGCACCTAAACAGGTTACCTGGAGAGCCTGAGGAAGCTCTGACCTTGGAGCTCTCAAGACTCAGCTAGACAAAACCATGGCTGACCTGATCTAGTGTTGGCAATGGTCCCTCTTTGAGTTGAAGGTTGGATCAGATGTTCTCCAGAGGCCGCTTTCAACCAACATCTCTTGGATTCTGTTCCATCATCTGTCTTTCTAAATTTCCTTCCACTTTTACGTTCTCAGCTAGTTCTTTTCTGTTGGATGGCATCAAATCTAGATCTCTCCTTTGCCAGAAGAGTTATCAGCAACAGTTTCACTAAGTCTTAGATTGAATCTTTCTTTTCAGAAGACATCATAGTAGTAAATCTCCATCTGTCACCAAGCAGCCTTATGATTCCGATGATTCCGCTAGTTGCTCATAAAAATAATCATTTACCTGGTTTGGTGGTAATTAGTAAGAGTCCCTTGCCCCTACTACAGACTCGGTGCAGCAGAGGATCTGAACCATGTGCCGAGTGACATGTATGGCGCTTTGTTTCTGTGTTGAAGTAAGATGGTAGAAACATATAGTAATACCAGTCTCAGTCTGTCCGATCTTAACTGTGTTCAGACGGACAGTTCAGTAAGCAATTATGAAATTGGCCTGTCAAGGAAGTTTCTCCTTAACCACTTTATAAATTATTGATCGCGTGTACCCTACCTACAATGTGAGGTCTTATGTAGCTTCTTGAAAAAAATCATTCATTCCAACAGCTTCCATTATCAATAAAGTCTGAATTCAGCTCGCCTGATTTTAAGTACTTAACTTCAGTGCTTCAGTGTAGGAGCAGTAACGGGCTATTATTGATATGTCGGTCATCCCGACTGGTATTTGGGAAGCCCTTCTCTCCAGTGAGGCATGCTTACGGTAATACAGGTCCTAACCTACATTCCTCAGAGAAATGCCTATGGTAACGTGGAATTAATCGTATAAAAATATTGCATACTTTTATTTTTAAAAAATATGTTCATGTTATTCCTACTTGCTGAACAGTTGGGCTTAGTGAGATCTATTTTGGCAGTGAAACCTGCTGTGTATTTATCAATATCATTATTTCAGTTCCTGCAAGACTAATATATTATTTTTATTTATTACTCACTTTATATATTAGTGACTGAAAAGGAAGTATCAGTACTAGAATGTTTCTGGAAGACTAGACTGGTTTAGGACTCAAAACACCAAAAAAATCTTCTGAGAAGAATAATTCCCGGATGCAATGCGGTATTTCTGGAGTCCTCCCAAGCAGCAGACAAGTTTTAGTAAGAAGGTTTTTCCCACAGGGGAAAACAAAAGCTTTTTTCTGCTTTTTCCATGCTGCTGTTTGGCATTAGGATGTCCATTATATTATCTGATTAGCCACTTGACATGGAATATTAACAAAACAATGCCCGGAATGGGCAGAAAAAGTAATGTACCGATCAACTCTGTTAACTCTGTACGACCAAGAAAAAAAAGCTACCTGTGGGTAAAAGGTTTGATAAAGACTGAATCATTTTTACAAGAAAGAATGTATTTTAGTAGTAGATTATTATGAATTCTGTAATTAGTTTCACAGCTGCCCAGCTGTACACTGTCGCCAGCGTAATAACTATTATTCAGCATCCTTGAGCAGATGTTCAGTTCTCCGTGGGGAGATGGTCTTTTTTGCGTATGGTATTGTGCGAAGAAAAAAAGCATGACGCTTGTCTACAAAGGAAAGAAGCTTATACATGAGTAAAGAGTGTAATAAACTATATTTTGTTTTCCAGAATATTCAGAAAAGATTCTGCTTTCTAACCTGCGATGCAGCTAGTTACTTGGGAGACAACCTGCGAGGAATAGGCTCCAAGTTTGTGAGGTCTTCTCAGATGTTAACATCATGTTCAGAATGTCCCACCCTTTTTGTAGATGCAGAAACAGTGAGTATATTCCTTTCAAAAGGCATGTGCTGCGTTGCAGTGTGTTATTTTACTGGCTGTTTCACTTTTGAGCAACTCCTGAACAGATACATCAAAAAGGTACTCACCTCCTATCTCTAATTTTTATCTCTTGTTCTTAACCGTATTTCCATTCATTTTCCATATTATTTTACTAGGTAAGTACTGGCAGATGGGCAATACAGAATCAGAGAACAGTTACGATGTGTTGAGCCTATGTGCCAAAACCCAATATAAAACAGGTGCCTAGCAGACCCAGTTGGCTCCACAAATGGAAAAGGAGAAGCTATTTTTTACATAGTTCAGCATGAAAGATGGTAATACCTTTAGTGGTTTCATTTGAGTCTACTGTGGTGTGAGCTGGATGATAAAAATATGTATTAAGGAATGAATGAGATGGCCCTTTCCATAGTTTTCTTTCTGGCCCATGTTTATCCACCAGCCTCACACAGAAGTACTGAGGTAGGAACTTGCAAAGTGTCATCTTGGGCCCACTGCTGTGACCGTGGAAGAGCTGGGCCTTACGGCATCAGAGGGCTGTGGAGGTCAACTACTTAAGCTTTGTCCAGTATTTTATTTCAGGGAAGTCCTCTGCAAAGCTGTTAAACACATAACACAATTTCAATTCCACATTATCATAGTTGCAACTTTTGCTATTGAGTTTCAGTATAGTATTCTATTTATGTATATTTTTGCATCAATATTTTTCAGCATTAGTATCTGTAAATCTAAATATTCTTTTGCAAGATCTTTACTATACTTTCTACTCTGCTAAAGTTTTTATTCTTTTATAGTGACATTTACTAGACCTTTTGATATCATTTCTCCAGCTGCTTTCTTGTGGCCTTCTTGAAAAGCTGAAGTTCAGTGTTTTAGAACTGCAGGAGTATCTGGACACATACAACAACAGGAAAGAAGCAACGCTCTCGGTATGCTGGATTATGTTGTGTTCTTGGTTTTGTACATGTGTATACTTACGCTGTGTCAGGAGACTGCAGATACACTCAGATCTCTTTAAACTAATATGCAGTAGAGAAACGTGTTTCAGATACTGGATTCATTAAATGTTTCTTCCTGAACATACAAACCAGACCTAAAAAATCAACCATTGTATCCCTTATTTTTAGGAACAATGGTGTCTTTGATATTCCTGGTCTTTCCTTTTTCCTACTCAGTAATTAATTCATTTTCTTGGTCTATGCAAGTGAAATACTAATAGAAATCAAGACTACACTTTTTAAATTACAGTCAAAGCAAATTATCACAGTCTGTGTGAATAAAAAGCACGACTGCAAATTTTTGTTTACATGCTGTGCTGTGAAACTAAAATACTGCTTACCTTTCTTCAAATCAAACTATAGGCCTTATTCGTATCTTCTTTTAATTTCTCTCTGAAAACAGTGGCTTGCAAACTGCAAAGCAACATTTGCTGGGGGCTCACGAGATGGAGTTATTACCTGCCAGCCAGGGGACTCAGAAGAGAAGGTAACAAATGAATTCTTTCTCTCCTGTAAAGTGACATGTGTGATAAATCTTGTTCTCAGACACACAAGAGCCCGCTGTACTTCCTCCTTGTCTCTCTGCTGGGCTTGGGCATAATCCAGTTTTCACACTTCAGGCTGGAATCATAGAATCATTATGGTTAGAAGAGACCTCAAAGACCAAGTCCAACCGTATACCCAACACCACCATGCCCACTAAACCATGTCTTGAAGCGCCACATCTAAACGTTTTTTGAACAAACGTTTTTTGTTCTTGCCTCTGTCCTGGCCACGGGAAATGGGAAGTATTCGGAGGCAAGACTTCTGCCTTCCTACTCCAAGCAGAGCTCTAACCCTGCCTGGGTTGTGTGTGCTCTCCCTTTTAGAAAGATGTTGCAGCAGCAATTTCCCACAGCGCAGTGTCTCTGGAAATCACTCCTGGTGTACTGTGCTTCCACATTCCACCCGTTTTATCTACGGCTGTTACAGACTCGGTCTGCCCAACGGCAAGACTTGCCTGGTTAAAATACACTTAGATTAGTAGTTATGAAATAATGACTGTAAAATGGCCAGTGAAATAATTTATGCTGTACATAAGTATTTACAGCTAAGGCAAAATATCTCTTTATCACCTTTGAACAAAAATTTTACACACACATGTGCATATATATACGCATACATAAAAATATATCTACATTTGGTGTGTTGATTCCAGTTAAGAAATCAGTCTTTTCAGAAACCAGCACCATCAGCAGGCATTAAAAAAAATGATATACTAAGTGTAGGAAACAGTGGTGTATAACGAGTTAAGAAATGTTATTTTGTGGGGTTTTTCTCCTTTTGGAGGAAAAAGAATGGAGAGATGGGAAAAAGAGGGGGCTGAAGAGCAGTAGCCAAAATCAGGAAGCAGCAACAGCATGTAGAAAAAAGTGACATCTCCTCTTTCCATGTATTTTAACTTATAAAAGATAACGATGGCATTCTCAGAACACATAGTTGCCTGTTGTAACCATTTTTTCAAATACCTTGTTTTATGTTGGTTTCAGTTTGTCTCTCTTCTCTCCCAATTCACTTTATTTTCTTCTGTTTTTCTCTTAACCTCTCTTTCCCACCTCTTTGTATTTGTCTTCCTGTCTTTGAACTCCCTTGATTTTTATTTTTTTTATGCCATTTCCCAAGAATCCCAAATCCTTGCCACCCCTGCATTTTGGCTTCCTTGACCTTTGTTAGCAAATCTAATTTGCTAATAAATCCTCGGGCTGCAATCACAGGCAGTGGGAAAACCATTCAGTCTTCCCCCACCTGGCATTGGCACCAGCAAAAGTTACAGACCCCCTCCCATGCATTTAAGTCAGATACTGTCTCTCCTGTAATTGTACTGGTGTACAGGGAAGTTACAAGTGAGCTATTCTCAAACCTAAAAAAGAGAGACCGGGAATACATGCAGGTACCTCAGGAGAGGGAGATAAAGTGTAGGTAGGGAGGCGTATCTATTGGGACGCGCATGGGCTTTGTCTTCCCACTGATGCACAACACCCTGACCAGTGACTTCAGACCGGAGCGTTACATATCTTGCTGTATACAGCTTCACTTACCCTCTTCATCCCTCTTTTGGAAACCCCATAGAATGGGATGGAGGATCTTGCTGATCATCTGCACTGTTTCTTTTTTGAAAAAGTAGAGGAGAAAGAATGCTGAGGAGCAGGAATAAACAGTGAACTGAGCTCATAGCTGGCCTAAATGCATCTACAAGTTAATAAATGTCACGTTCCACTTGTGGGGTTTTTTTTTTACCTAGGTATTCTTTGTTTCAGAATTAAATGTGTGTTGTGTGAAGCCGGTGTTAGTATTTTTACTGCTTATCAAACAGACTGAAAAAAAGGTTTCTCACTCCTTCAGGAATCCCTGGTTTCTCCCCAGCATTGTTCCTTCAGCCCAACATGCATTATTCCTTGGAAGTTGACAGGATGGTAGGTCTTTGATCAACAGGCATGTTTCTTTTATTCCCCTTCTCATTCACCTGTCAATTGAAGCAGGTCTTCCCAAAGGAACAATCTGTTTCACCCAACAAAAGTGTAATGGGAGAAAGAGTCCAGGGAAACTGAGGAAATCTGATTAGGAAGGGACAAGGAAAAATTACTCCTAGACTGACAAGTCTTTGTTTTCTTATCTTTCCTCTCCTCTTGTTCCTCAACCTGAAAGGCTAAAGAATCTATAATTATATAACAAAAATTGTTCTTATAGTGGCAGTCACAAGAGAACCTGCCTAAACTCTCACTCATTGAGGGTTAGACTAGGATCTGAAATCCTGCTGAGAACTTCTGGCCTAAAACAATTGCTTAGCTAAGCACAAAACCAGGCTAATTCTGGAAAAGGTTCAGAAATAGTTATAAGGAAGAAAAAGCAACACCTTGCTCTACAGAAGGCAGAAATCTTAGATTCTCAGAACTCCCCACCTGGTAAAAAGCTTGAGGTGAAAATAATCCCCTCTATAGACGAGGGAGGCATGAGACCAAATTCAGCGTTAGCACAAGCGGTTGCATCACAAATGCCTGCTCATGCTGGTAACTAACTTGGCACCAGTTTCTCTAATCAGATCTTATTTCGAAATAATTGCACATGATTTGTTGACCTTTGTTACTGAAAATGGGCAAAGACAAAAATTGCTTATTCTGACATTAAAGAAGCTCGAAATAGAAGTTGTCTAGGTCAGCTGCTAGAGCTAGCAACTTCTCTGAAATCGGGTAAAAGCTTCATGTCCCACAATGTCTCTCCCCTCCCTTATTCTTGGAACAGATTACATGATTTGGATGTGTCTGTGATTTGTAAGCTTTGATGTGACGTTGAGCAAGAGAGTCTCAAGGACACAGGAGTCAATTTATAGACAAAAGGTAGCTGCACAGACGATTGTGCTGTCTGTCCAGGTGTAACAGATGAGTACAGCTATCAGTATGTTCTTCAACCTTACTAAGGAGGGATTTTTAATCTAGTCAAAAACTAGTTTTGTTTGGGATTTTTTTCTGGAAAAGAAATACACGGAAGATCCTATTTTTCTTGTCAGTTAGCACTGCTAGTTCAAATAAGTATTTACCTCCTAATGAGACGTTCAGTTTACTGTGTAAATCCAAAGTCAGTACACACCTTTGTTAAACCTTGCTCATCCCAAAGCTCACCACAAGCTAATGGGTGTGGGCTTTGCAAACTCAAACTGTTAATGGATATTTAAAACATGCTGCACCCTATAAAAATTTGCCCCCAAAATTCAGAATGTATCTGTTGCTCTGAGTTTCCCTGTGGCTAAATGTTCAGTTACTCTAGGCCACCAATAAGACCGGAGGTGTACCTCTTGGGACCATCGTCAGCTGGAGTTGAGTTGAGTTACAGTAAAATTCAAGGCACAGTGAGTCTCGTTGTTATGTTAGAAATCCGGAATAATCAATAATCAGTTATCTGACTGCTGTTTGACAGATCCATGGATTGACAATGAGGTAGAATTGGCCCAGGTAGGCAGCTTTTCTAAAGAAGGAACACAGCTGTGTGTTAGATTTCTCCAGACTCAATAGTTTCTACTGTCCTTCAAGACCAGTGGATATTTAAGAACACACAGCATATGCTGTATCTCTCTTTTTCTCTCTAATATACATACAAATTTGTATATATACCCACTTTCCTGATTGTGGGAAAAGTTTTTGTCTGCTGGCATGTCAAGTCAAATAGAATACGTTAATAAAATGCACTTGTAATTAATAACCCCTTACACGCAACAGTTATTTTGTTATGGTGGGACTCTGCTGTGCCAATAAATGACCGAAGACTGTGTTGCCATCAAACTATTAATATCTTAAGAAATAATTGTGTAACTCTCATCTCTTTTCAGTGTGTAAAGATGATTCCTTGAAAAAAAGCAAGAAGGCCCATGATCTAAAGATTAGTGCTTTGCTGTCTTCCTGGTCTGCTAATAATACAGAACAGTAATTCTCTCTCTCAATAAAAAACTAAATCAAAGTGTTGCTGCTGGGAGGTGTGTCCTTCTTAGGTGCAGCAGGTACTAACTGCATAAAGGACTGCACAGGTGATCCAAATACTCATAATATTCAGTATTTTCAGCTGCCAAAACCACTAATTATGCAGCGAGCGGCTGCGTGGTATTTACGTAGTTGCTGGTTGGGGTAAAACCATGACAGTAGTGTCTATCAACTAATCTAAACCAACACTTCCCTTACTAGAGGAATTAAACTAGAAACTGGGCAGAGGAGTGGAGGCTAGGATCATTCCCCTTGAGCCCTTGCTGCTGGGGACTGAAAGAAATGTCACTTACTCCAATAATTAGGTGTCTTTTCAACTTCCAAGGAATATCTTATTTTATGCTGAGGGGAAGGTAAGTTACAGTCATGAATTTGTAGCACAATATGGAGTTGAGCATCAGTAGTTTAGGGAGATTTTGTATCCAGTATATTTTCTTTCAGTGATGAAGAAGGGTTTTCAATGTAATGTGAAACCCCTTCCCCACCCCTTTTTTTTGGCTTGCCCTGGTTTTGGAAGCAGTACAGAGAAGTCAGTTTTTTCTGGAAAAAAAGACTGTGGAATTCACTTATTTGCTGCTTCCTCCTCCCCTCCCTCTTCTTTAAAGTAAATTCCATGGCAAATTAGAAATTATATGTGGATTCCAATATTTTTGAAACTCCAAATGAAACTTGGTGGCATGCTAAACTTCAGAGGAGCTTAAGACAGAGACAAACAAGGTTTGAAAAACACAAGCCAGCACACCTGTGAATTTACTAGAGCACAGTGATCTGTCTGCTCTTGTCCTCTTCTTATCTTGAATTTAGCTTCACAAAGCTTAATTTACGTGAACTGCATGGAAGCCAAGAAGATATAAAGGGGTTTTTTTCCAAGAGTACTAAATAGAAGAAAAAAACTATTCCAGCAATGTTAAAGGCATAAAATTAAACATTAAGAGAGCTGAAAGCTTAGTTTGTCGTGGGTTTATAGAAGAGTAGTGCAAGATTTGGGACTATATTTTCATCCATTTTTTAATAGTAAGGCCCATGGAAGGAAACCAGACTGAAATACTTTGTTGGGCTGTACAAAGTTAGCATTCTTCCACATTTCTGTGTTTGCCGCCTTCGTATCGATGGTAAGGTAAATCATTTTCATAAGAATCCCGAATGTTTCTTAACACTGTGTGCGTACGCACTGACATCAGGCTGTACCTGGGCAGGTGGGTTTGTTAGCTACAGCATTTCCATGATGACTCTGTTCATCCGAAATGTCACGAGACTGTAATATATATATATAAAAAAGAAGGAAAGCTGCATTAGACGTACACAGAGTGCAAATGTTAGTTTTTGGCAAAGAAAAGAGGAACACTTTTTTTTGAGGAGAGAAGTTGGTCGCCTAATCTTTGAAATGCTAATGTAGGTCAATTAGAATTTTTATTACTATTGCAACAGGATTTACACTGACATTTTAATAGCTCCAGAATTACAACTCAGTGACTCATTAGTGTTGAGAGGAAGGAATACAAAGCTGTCTCAACTTGTGGCATTGCCACGTAGTGAAATCAAACTGGCATTTTCCATGGGCTTTTTTTTTTCTTATGATAGTCATAACTTAAAAGTTATATGCAAAATGTTTCCATTGTCATATGCCAAGTAATAAACCCAGCAGTCACAAAGCTTATTCTGGAAATTTCATTAGATTTATGACATCCAAAAACAGAAGTATTTATAAATAAGAAAACGTTTACAAATCACAAAGTTCAGTTCCGTTCATCTCTTGAAAATCCTGCCTAATTTTTTGAGTACTTTGCAGTATGAGCTCTTTTTAATAACAAAGAAAGCAAATTTAAACAGAAGTATTATTTCAAGAGTTTTGTAACACTATTTCACTGTAAGTTCCTCAGCTGGGATGATAAATCAAAAGTAATAAATCTGAAGATCCAACTGAGGATATTTAGGCTGGAATTTACCATTAGAATTAAAGCTTGATTTTATTAAGAATGCTGTGCATGTTGTATGTGATATTTCCAACCAGTTATCAGGTTGAGGCAAGCATTGCTAATACTGCTGACAAGTTATGCTATTAAAGATGGGCTGTGCTTCCTATTGCATGCCTTTCACTGACACTATACTTTCTTTCCTTTCCTTTTCTCCTGTGCCATGCTTGCTGTGTAGCAAATGGAATCTCTGGCAGTAAGTTGAAGTTCTTTCATATTCTTTGTCCATCTGTAGATGGACTAATACACCCCAATTTTACTGTTTTACTTCTAAGCATGTTTTCCTTTTTCGTTATAATTTTCCTGTAGAATACGTGGTTCTACATGCAGTGACTAAAATAACTTACTAAGGTGTGTTTTGTGAAATCTAAAAATACTGTGCCAAAATTGCGACACCTTCATATGCTGTTTTAATTGGTCATTTACATAAGTTTTTAAAAATCAAGCCTTTGAATGGATATAATATGCTGGAGTGGAAGATAACATTTTTTTGTTCTTTTAAAATTCATAATTTTCAATTTGTCCTAATGAAGCACCACAATTTATAGTTGACAGTTATGTTTCAAATTGGTGTTGTTTGTATGTTGATGGATAGTTTCACCTCTATTGGTTTCTAATACTTACTCAGGAAGAACGAAAATTGAGTTGTTTGATGTGGTAAATAAATACTGAGTGAGTCAAACTTGAGTCTTCAGTCTGGCCTTAGTTTGTCTTCATTCAGGTTAGCAGCCAGAACGGTGAAACTGAATTATTGTTCTCCAAGGCCTAAAAAAAATCATGTGTTACATGCCAAGCTATCATGAATTTTTTTTTTTTCCTAATTATGTTATGCTGTGTCCTGGTTTTCAATTAATTTTTAACTCCATGACAACTTCAAGTGTATGTGTATGTAACTGCTACATAGTGTTGCCAGTTCTCCAAAATTTGAATAGAGTGAATCTGATCCCGACTGGAGAACCTCAGGCTGTGTCCCTACTAAAAACAGGACCAAGGAGCAAGCGTGTGTCCCCGGGCTGGCGTTAGGGACGAAGGGTGAGCACCTTCCCTGGCCCTGCCATGCCCCGTCGTGGTTGGAAAGAAGACAGAAGCCAGAGCCATTTCCAGGAGGTTGTACCTAAACAGTCACTCTTTATTTTGGGAGAACAGTTAGCCACACAGATGGAAGCTTGGCAGTGCTCCGTGGCCTCAGTTACAGAGAACGGGCTCTGGGCAGGTTTACTTACGGTGTCCCTCATGCCCTACCTCTTCATTCGGTAGGTTTTGTCCCTGCCCACAACTCCGTTCTGTCCTAGCAGGTCACGCATCCGTTCTCTCCCTTTTTTTCCCCCACCATGGATCTGCTGGGCCTTTCTTCAGCTCCTGTGGGTCTTTGCTGTCATGTCAGGTCTGGTGGGATTCCTCCCTTCCATTTGGGGCAGGAACACCCTGACCCTGCTCACCAGGAACAAACATTAAACGTACCGACTCAGATAACCAAAAACACAGCACAGAGCACAGACCAGGCAAATTTACAGTGCTGAACTCTGTGGCAGGCCAACGCTGGGGTGCGAGCAGCCCTGTCTGCCCGGCCTTCAGCGGGACGAACCCTGCCATGTTGACACCCGCTGCCTTGGCACTCTCCTCCTGCTCCCACTCTCCGCCATAAACCTCCTTCGGAAGGAGACTAGCTCTAGTTTTGGTAGTGCCCTTGGCTGACTGTTCATAGATGAGTAGTTGGTGTCCACCCCTCCCTGATGAACAAAGCTAAAATTTGCCAAAGAACCTCTCTTTGACCTCAGGGCCTCAGCCTTGGCTGGCTGGTACCAAAATTTTGGGAACTGGAACGCTAAGGTTCTAATTTTGGCTTATTAATAAAGACCCTGGCACTTAAATATTGAAACATATGCAAATAAACACTTCAGTCAAATTAACGTTTATAATGTTTTTAAAGTACTTTTTATTAGTATTTGTGCTGGCATTTGCACAGACCCCAGTTCCGCAAAGAGCTGAAGTACATGCTGGTAGCTGAGCATGTATGAAGTGCTTTAAGGAAGCAAAGACATTAAAGGCTGCTGCTGCTTTTCGGCCGCGTTTGGCATGAAACTCTGGCCTAGCTCCTCCAAGCAAATGGAAAGACCACTGAGCCCACCCTTGGTCACTGTGTCTGGAAGAAAAGCCGAATGAAATACGGTTTGAAGTCTGCAAGGCTTACCTGCCAGAAGGTCAGGAGGCCTCCTGACTTGTACTTGCAGAATTTTCACTTCTTCTGTAATTTGGCAAAGATTAAATATTCCTCCCTTCCCCACCATGATTCAGCTGTGGAACTACAAGATTCCCCCTCCTGACAGACACACAGATACCAGGACGGTAAATGTATTAACTTGACTTCTCTGGCAGATGTGCCTATCGCATGTTCCTTCAGTGTGTCCGACACCTTTTGTGTGGTGCTGCACATTACACTGGAAGAAACAAGTTAATATTCGTAGAGCAGTATCTACTTCATCTGGGAGAGTAAGTTGTAGAAGCCAGATGTCCTCATCCTCTCGCCTCAGAGAAGGAGGCAGGAGCTTTGACCCTCTTGGACAACTACTTCATTGCTTGTCTCTTGGATTCCCATCCCCTCAGAAGAGGTCTTTGACCATTTCTGAAGTTTTAAAGAGTTTTATGTTCTACGCAGCAAAGTCATTTCCCCCGTATTCTGCCTCTGCTTTCCAGTTGCAAACTGGAGACACTGAAACTAACCTATATAAACTGCTTTGCGATTGATGCTGACGTGTGCTACATGAGAGCTAGCTGTTATAATTTTGATTTTCAATGTCATGTATGACTTAACCTGCAGAAGAAAGAACGTTACTTGTTTTCTGAAATAGTACATGGTCGTACTTCAGTAAAATAATGTTTTTTGAGACCTGAACTATCCGTGTTTTATTAGTTATTGAAAAGGACCCCAACTCACTGAGCTTTGTTAATTATTTCTTCTCCTACAAATCTTTTCTCAGCAATTGGAACTGTGTCAGCGATTATATAAACTGCACTTCCAGCTGCTGTTGCTTTTTCAGTCCTACTGTAAACTTATCGGACAAGTGCACGAAGTGAGTTCCATGCCAGAGGTACGTAACAAAGTCTTACACTGGAAATACCACTTTACTTTCATGTTCTTGCTTCTCTTTCTATGGACTTACACCAAAGATTACGCTATCTCACCCTGAATATAAGTTTCCAGACAAAACCCTTCAACACAACAGCATCCACATTAAAATATTAGTCGAAATGCTGAATTTTTTGTAATTGACTGTACTTTCAGAGACTGGGATCTTCTATACATTCAGTCTTCAAAAGTCATTTCAGTCAGTGGTAACAAACTCGTAAGAGACATGAAACCGTAACTTCACTCACACGCTTAACATGTAGGGAGGGCTCACACTGTGTGAACACCTGCAAGCGATTTGGTTTTATTTTTATTTTTAATTTTTATTGAGGCCTTAATTTTTAGGGGAAACGAGCCTTCTTCAAACAAACAGAAAACACCCTTTTCCTAGAGCATGACTGATTTTATCTGAACTTTGTGGAGACACCTAAGTGTAACCAGGAGCACTGGTTAGCATGGCAGTAGCAAAATAATTTGGTAAATTAATCTTAATATGGATGCAAAATTAAGGTTTTTGCTGGAATAATGCGTTGTAATTTTCAGCCATGTAAACAGTCTCCATTGTATGTGCATTATACTAGAAATGTTTTTGGCAAACAGCTATTCAATGGGTTTGTGTCCTCTCGTACCGGAGCGAGCAAAGGTGCATAGTGTAGAACTACTTTATATTTTGACTGCAAGTGTACTGCCTGATCTTGTTCTCTGGATAAACAAATCAAAATCAGTTTAATGTTTCCAAAAAGTATTAAATCTATTTAAAAAATATAATTAACTAAATACCTTAATGTCATAAGTCTTTTTAATTCTGTTACAAGTTTTCTTCTTTAAATATTTTTGACACAGCACACTATTGGTTTTGACCCAAATAGCCTTTTGGTTTTAGATAAATCTATGTAACTTACTTTAAAAAAGAACAATACCGTTAGTCAAGTTTCTTTTCAGCAATTGCATAAAATATGCAATACTTTGAAATATCTTTGAGGTGATCACTTTAAGTTGGATGATCATCATTTAAGGAAGGATTTAACTTGCCATTCCATACATATTTTTCTGCTGGTAAGGTGTATATATTTTAAACTATTGAGGGGAAGAAATTACTGTACTTTGCTCGTAGCTATAAAACAAAATTTGAAGCTATAAAATGGATTTTATGACAGATTCTAGTAGTTTAGAGATTCTCTATAAATGGAAATGGTTTGAAGTAGTCTAAATTTTAGAAATATTTTGGTTTATTTTAGAAATATTTGATTTCTGTAACTGTATTTCACAGTTACGATTTTGTTCGATTCTTATAAATAATGCAGCCTACGAAACTGGGGAACCATAATATGAGGAATAGCTGTTTTGCCATGTAATTTGCGTGTTTTGCTGGAGCCATAAGCTATTATTTAAAGAAAGGTCCATTGTTAGTTCATGTGACAGTGGTTCTTTTTAGCATGTAGGAGCATGAAAAGATAGGTCTTTAGAAATTAACTGTTCACTTATGAATTATTTATGAGTTTATATTAACTTTTCAGCCTGATAGAGGGTTATACAATTCCTGTCCATCTGTTAATCATGTCAGCTCCTGCATGTGTTTTGTAAATAAGTAGCAACATCATTGCTAGGAGAAGAATATGTTTTCTTAAACTTTTCCACTATGATATGAAAAAAATAGCAGGAGTGAAAAGTAAAAGATTGTTTAGATATGCTCTTGCATTTTCGCAAGCCAAAAATACAGCCTAGGGTTAAGGGAAACACAAAGCATAAAAATCTGTAGTTTGTGTTTTATTTGTTTTGTACAGAGCACAGAGATCCAGAAATGTCCTTGTGTTAAAATGGGGTCTTTTCCATAATGTGTACATTCAACGCAGTAGTAAGAACAGACATTAAATACTTACTCCCTTTAGTGCCTATGGAGAATGAAAATACTCACCTCTCATCTTTCTCCTTGGAACAGCTGTTAAATATGTCAAGAGAACTGAGTGAGTTGAAGAAAAATCTTAAGGACGCTACCGCTGCAATCGCAGCTGAGCCTCCGACGACAGAATCTGAGCCCACGTTCAATTCTACGGAAGCAGCTATTCAGTCCATGCTGGAGTGTTTGAAAAACAATGAGCTTGTTAAAGCCGTCCGACAAATAAGAGAATGCAGGCAAGTTTTGCTACATGGCTCATATTAGACTTTCATGTTATTAGGAAAGAGT